TAATCGGATAGTCAAAAAGTTTTGAGCTTGGAAACGATATTATAGAAGCTTACCTGGAGTATTTTACTTGAAAGTTTGAGAGGCAAAATTTTTAATGTTTTTTTACAAAGGATTTTTAAAGTGAAGTTTGTTGAGATTGTGCAATTTAAGCGGAAAGTTGATCTGAATTATTTACGCACTTCGCAATTTTTCAGATGTGAGAATCAGTTTCGACAGCTTTTCATTGATTCGGAGCACCTCCCTGGTCAAATGATGAAAAAACGAGAAGACCAGGTAGTACTTCATGTTCTCTCTTATTTTTTGTTTTGATCCAGGTAAAATTGCTTTTTATCCTTTCTTGAATGCAGATTGCATATGCTGCCCATCTATATAAATGCTTCTTTTAGGTTCGAAACGATGCCGGTGGTTTCGTGTTTGCGGTAAGCGATGAAACACGCGTCCGACGATTTATCATTCTTGGTACTGCGGGCGGAACTTACTATGCAACTGAAAAGGAACTAACTATGGATAATGTGAAAGCATTGATAGATATCATTGAGCGAGGTGAGAGCTTGGGACTATACTTTTTTGGTATCTTTTAGCTTATTCGTGTCTGCGCCAAATAAAATATTAGACTTTGGAGTAGATGAAGTATCTCGACTTGTTGCTTGCATGTGTAAGGTGTTGAATATTTGGTTATAACAAAGTATAACTTTTACTTATAAGGTCATGGAAGTCTCATCCTCAAGGAGATATACGAAATCTCGTTGGCTGGACGAAACCCTAAGCAAGATCCTCTATTGATGGCGCTTGCGTTGTGTGCCAGGTAAAAGTCTGTACCCTCTGGGCCTATAGGAACTGTCAAATAATGATAAATTTCATTATCTTTGTTTCTGTAGATATCATGTCTGCGACACGACCACTAAGGTCAAAGAAGCTGGGGACGGTCCAAACAAGGAACTTATTGTGGCGAAGAATCAATATCTCAGTCAGCTGCATAAATCTGCTTTTGGTATTGTCAATGAAGTGCGTTTCTTCTAAGACGGTCATTTCTGAAATTCAAAGAAAGGTACTGTATCATCCATTTAGGTTTGCCGAATCCCCACACATCTTTTCACATTCGTCAAGTATTGTGAATTGGTCTCTCAGTCAACACAGCCCGAAGAAGGGAAGAAATCTACTGGATGGGGTAGACTCATGAGAACTACCATCCAAAACTGGTAAGTGCTGGATTCAGCATTAACAATTGAACTATGTATCAGAAACCATTATCTGTACCTTCTCCCCAGGTATGCTAGCAAAACTCCTGAGCTTCTTGCTATGCACCTTACCAAGTATCCTCAAAGAGGTGGTTGGTCTCATCGTGATCTCTTCCGTTTGGCTCACCCAACTCTAAAGGAGAAGAAGAATGAGAACTCTATCTTGGAATACGAACAACTATATCACTTTGCTGTCAAAGGTCAGTCA